AACGCACTATATATATACGGAAAGAAGACGATCACGCCATATAGTTAACAAAGATGATCAGACCATATAGTAAACAGAAAGGATGATCAGACCAAATAACGAATAAAGAAGATGATCAGACCATATAACGAATAAAGGAGATGATCACGCCATATAGCTAACAAAGATGATCAGATAATATCACAGAGAAGATGTCGAGTGTCACTCGCTAACAGGGACTTCAGGACTTCGAAGTCCTGAAGTCCGCTTTTCCCCCCTTGAACAAAGCACTAACAATAAGCAAAGTAGGACAATTAAATTTCGAAACAAAATGAAGAATTTTGTCATAGGAAGTTCTGTTTTATTTTGACTCCATTTTCAGCCAGAGTTCACAGAAGGGTAACTGTGAACTAAATCTGTTACGCGCGTGGAGTGTGTTCGCACAGAGGTAAGGTTTTAGCTATCTGTCATCGATAAATGTTTCATAAATTCGTGGTGCAGCATGAGAATGAGCCACTATGCATCATTTCGTGGATGAAAATAAATTCCAAGTTGCACGTCGAAAATTCTGACATTTGTGTATTCTGGTGTATTGTTAATGAGAATATACCAAGCCTACGTCAACATATTACACTTTTTTAGCGATAGTCTTAGAAATGCAACTAGTTGTGCGTACAAAAGTAATAGAGAAGGAATACAAAAGCGCCTTATATAACAATACAAATAACCATTTGTGCGTTATAGAGAACATCCTTAGAACTTCAATGCAAAGAAATTCATAAAGCGTACCAGAACGTATACTCATAAGTTTAAATTCAGGACTCGTTCTGACACCCTCAGTGAGTCGCAATAACGCTATCCATAATATATTCTGGATCGAAAAGTATAACTTACACAATTATTCTTCAAAACTTCACTGTGGTCAATTGAAAGTGGTGGTGAATTTATCAGTAGGGTCCCTAACAGCAGTGGAGGGTCGATCAGACTAACATTCTGCTTGATACTAATATTTTAGTTTTTAAGTTAGCTTTATTCAATATATGATTAGATATTTATTTTGAGATAAGCTGATTAAGAATTAAATTAGTAAGTAAAAAGCATGAAACAATATGCAGACAAATACCGATGAGATTTGAAATGTAATGCGTATTTCTTATTCAATTATAGCTCTTTCTGTTGCACATCGACCAAAGTTTTCTGGTGAATACATTTCTTCAGCTTTAGCTGGTGGAATAACAAATATTCCAGCACATGTTGCTTCGACACGTTCATCTCTTACATTTTCATGTTCAGGTCAACCAATGGTGGGATATCGTTGGCATCCGTAATAATAATTAGCTCCTTTTGAACTTGTTACCGATGACTGTGTATCATCGGTCACTATACCTTTTAATTGTGTATTTAATGGTTCACAACCAGCGGGTAAATAATCAACTAATGCTATATGATATCGTCGTTGTGCTGTTGTCATTGTTATTATGACTTTGACGTTTTCACCTAGCTTCAATTTCCATGTGCCATCTGATTGTTTTTGAACATGTGATGAATCATTCACAGCTGTGTATGTTCGTTCGATTTTAAAACCATAATTAACTGCATTTAACTGCAAACTTGATGAAGCATAATTCAATGCAATACAATAATATAATCGACCATTCCCAACTTTTTGCATAATTAGACTTTTATCATCATTAGTTGTGTTGAATAATGATGTTAATGGCAACAGTGCTTTCATTGAAATATTGACTGTGTATGTATTCACCGTTCGACCTTTGTATTAAGAAGAAAATCAGAATATTTAAGATACTTCGAACAATTTTGTTAGCAATTAAAATAGAAATTGACGTTATCAGGCACGTAGAAATTAAAACATAGGAATAGGGATTATTGATAAAAGACCAAATTCAAAGTGTTAAACTTGTCTCAATGTCTTCATGCCTTTAGATATAATATATTAAAGTTGACACTTTGATAAGACCTTAGCTAATTTTCAACAACTACAGATGCTATCGCAAGATAATTTTCAAGAAAAAGTCTCACACAAATAATTTATCCTGTCATTTATTTTTTATTTGATGAACTTGGAATGATAGCTGCTACGTAATATGACTACATAAAGGACTAACGTTCTAGTCAAACATGTAGACAATATGAGAAATATGTTAGTAATACTTTTTTGCTCAATTCCGAAAATGAGGTATCTGTTGATGATTTGCATAAATTCTAGTCATATAGAACAAATGTGTGACAACATTCAGTTTAGACTTGATACTTTGTTGCACTGACAAAAATAGAGCAGTTCAATTGCATTAAATTTTGTTCAAACAGTTGTTCTCAAACGCTTTTTGTAAAGTGGTTGAAAATGGATATTTACACAAAAAGTCAGAGAAGATTCTCTAACGACCTTTGGCCTACGAAAAATTAAGAATATTACTTAAAGGCTTGGAGAGTGGCTAAAATGTGTCAAATATTGCTGATAGTCTGGCGTATTGAAATTTGTTTCTATTCAGCGAATGATCAAAGAGTCAGATTTTCCTGTTTTTCTTTTACTAATGCTCTAAAGTAGTCACTCTTCTCACATCGTTTAAAGGTTTCGTGCGAAACATAAGAGTATCTTGTGTCTCAAATCACATCAACTGAATATATAGTGCTGTAAAGATCTTTTTTTGTACAACTGCTTTGTCTGTGAATATCCGTCATATTTTCAGCCAACTTTTCAGGTAAGTCACGCTTTATCCATTTCTATCCAAGTATCCTATTTTTTACTAACAGCAATTGAGCATGCCATGGACGTTGAACTACAAAAACGTCATCTTGCCAACTTTAAAGCTACTAGGAACCTTAAGAATCGTACAAGACTTATAACTGCATAGGCAACAAGTTTGGCAACAAGGTCTAATGACTTCTAAACGAAAAGTAGTAGATATATTTTTCAGTAAGCCTCTGAAATTGTAGTTAAATGCAGTAAGGCCAACCTCGTCTTGATGACTGAAAATAACCGACTGATTATCTCAAATTGCATTACATTTATCAGTCATTATACATTGTCTTAGATCTGTTCGTGCAAGCTTCAAAGAGTAAATAATCATATAGATAAATGCTTTAAGACAGATTGTTTCTTCCAATATGTGTGCACATGAAAAAAAGTCCAGGATGATATTTAGCAAAGTTTGATTTGTTGGAAGGTAAAGTTTAATATGTAGATTTTAGGGTATGAAAATAGAGGCAACTGAAATATTTACGTGGATAACTAGCCCTTACAGAAATCGACATCCTGGTTTGGCCCAAATTTTGCTAAAATATCCTTGCATCGATAGCACATTAGGGTGTTAGTAACAATTTCTAACACTCTTTGATATGTCGTTACCTTTATATTGATATTGACCACAATAATCATTATCAAGCCAAATATTTGTAACAAATTCTGGTGTATCCTTTTCTTTCATGTGAAAATATTTATCTAATGCAATTAATACAAAACAATTTTCTTGTGTTGATTTCCATGCACCTTTCACTTTATGCGCTTGTAAACCTTTACATAAT